AAAGGAGACAGTTACCTACAAAGGAGTTTCCATAAGGCTGTCAGCTGATTTCTCAAAAGAAACCTTGCAGGCAAGAAGGGGCTGGAAAGAAATATTCAAAGTCATCAAGGCAAGGACCTCCATCCAAGATTACTCTACCCAGCAAAGCTATCATTTAGAATGGAAGGGCAGATAAAGCGCCTCCCAGATAAAGTCAAGTTAAAGGAGTTCATCATCACCAAGCCCTTATTATATTAAATGTTAACAGGACTTATTTGAGAAAAAGAAGATCAAAAACTATGAACAGTAAAACAGAGGGGAGGGGGAAGAATGGGGGAGAACGTACAGGGAATATGCAGCATAAATAATAGGTACAAAATAGACAGGGGGAGGTTAAGAATAGTATAGGAAATGGAAAAGCCAAAGAACTGATATGTATAACCCACGGACATGAACTAAGGGAGGTTGAATGCTGGGGGGTGGGGTGGTGCAGGGTGGAGGGGAATAAAGGGGAGAAAAAAATGGGACAACTGTGATGGAATAATCAATAAAATATATATTAAAAAGATTAAACAAGACATTTTAAAAGCACTTTATATACAACTTGGTGCTAAAGTAGTAATTATTACTATTATAATTATTTTTCTTCCCATTAGAGCACTTAGAAAGTCACTTTTTAGAATGTGTCTATGACTGAGGATAAGTAAATAATCAGAGGCATAGCAGCCATTACTATACTGTATTCTTGAGAATGAAAACATAAAATGACACCAGTTCTTGGTGAGACTTCTCAAACTTTGGTTATTTACGTACCACCAATGTGATTTCTGCCACATCCAAGTATTGCATCTTAATACATTTCTTTAAATCAACTCGCTTTTCTTTAATTGGCTCCATTCTGAAGACGTATAGCTGTGAAAAAGTCAGTTTGATGTGATTATCTTTTTTCTAATGTATGAGGTCTGTCCAGAAAGTATCCAGCCATGAACTATGACAAATAGAGACATTTATTGAAGAAGATACAAGATCCGAGAAACATTGTGCATAGGACAATGACGCCTCAGTCCTCTTCAAAGTAGGCACCTTGGGACATCACACAGCTCTCCCAATTGCTATCAGCAGCCACATTGTATTTTCCTGAATCTCATCGATGGTCTGAAATCTCTTCCCATTCAAAGGTGATTTTAGTTTTGGGAAAAGCCAAAGTCACAGGGCACCAAATCTGGGCTGTAGGGGAGCTGAGTCACCTGGGTGATTTGATGTTTCACAAAAAACTGCAGGAGACATGATGCATGAATGGGCGAATTGTTGTGATGAAGCTGCCAATCACCAGTTGCCCATAGCTGCGGTCTTCTGAATCATCCAAAGTTTCCGCATGGGAATCTCCAAGCTTAATGCAAAATTTGTTGTTTTTTTAAAAAGATTTTTATTTATTTTATTTTTAGAGAGAGCGGAAGGGATGAAGAGAGGGTGAGAAACATCAATGTGTGGTTGCCTCTCACATGCCCCCTACTGGGGACCTAGCGTGCAACCCAGGCATGTGCCTTGCCTGGGAATCGAACCAGCGACCCCCTGGTTCACAGGCCAGCACTCAATCCACTGAGCCTCACCAGCCAGGGCTGACCTAGAATACATTTTAAAAAAAGAAATGGTAGGCATGCAGATCATCCAAGTGAAAACTGTTATTACCAGATAGTGGAACACTCCTCCAAAAAGGCAAGCCAGAATCAGTTATTAACTAATACCTTTCAAGTCTGTGCTATAAACCAGAAAGTTCTCTGTAACAATAACAACATCATCATCAACAACAACAAAATCATTGACCAGAACCAGGAGAGAGAAACATCTACAGATATTTTACATATGCAATTTTGGCACTACTCTTAAATCCACTACATTAAGAGCCACATTACACACTTTTAAAAGTTACTCTTACATTCCATTCTCTTAGGATCGCAGATTTAATCATTCAGGGAAAAAACTGTATCATGCATCTAAAATATACAAGACACTATAAAGAATATGAAAGAGGAAAGAGTTTGTTTATAATCTGGCATGAGGAATAAGACTTATATATTCCCCAAATAGTGATTCTTGGGACTGAAGAGGACTGCTGGCATTATATTTTCCTGAACATTTTATTATGAAAAATTTCAAATATACGGCAAAGTTAAAATAACTGTACATTGAACATGCAAATACTCACCACCAAATTCTATTTTTACTATACTTGTTTTCTCACACATCCATCCATCCATCTGTCCACCTTATTTTTTGATGAACTACTGGGATTTAGAAAATGAGCCTATGCATTGACCTGTGGACATGAACACGGTGTGGTGACTGCCTGAGGGTATAGGGGGTGCTGGGTGGAGGGGGGCAAAGGGGAAAAAAATAGGGAGAACTGTAATAGCATAATCAATAAAATTTTTTTAAAGCCAAAAAAAAAAAAAAAAGAAGAAAAGAAAATGAGACTACGCATCATGAAGAATTTCGGTAGGCCATCTTAGGGTTGTTTCTCAAAATTTTTGATTGATGGGATGCATCAACCCAAAATTTTGGAAACCACAAACCCATGTTCAGTGTTCAACTCTTCTGCCAATCTCCAGTCAAAGCCTATTCAGAGCTCACAACCAGTCATTTTGGGTCTCCACATCCTTGTGCACTATCTGAACTATTTATTCTTCCTTGTACCCCTTCAAGTCTCAGCATCAATCTGTGAAGCCACCCCCAACTTTCACACCTTCACCCAGAATTAACCATGTCCCACACAAAGGCCCATAATTTACAATTAGCCCAAAGTATCTGCAACTTTGTTTTCAGTCAGGCTCTTTTACTAAACTGACCTCCTTGAGGGCTCCTCTTAGTTCCTTCTGAATCCTCAGCTACCAGCACAGTACCCAGCCTATGCAGCAAGCACTCAATAAATAATGTAAATTAATAACCCAGACCGGTGTTTACCCAGGAGTCAGGGAAGATTTTAGTCAAGTGTGGGAATGACCTAATCAAATTGGCACTTCAGAAAGATTCCTTCTAGAGAGCACTGTGGTTAAGAGCATGAGCTTTGGAGCCAGACTGCCTGGGCATGAATCCCAGCTCTGCTGTCTATTGATGGGTGACTCTAGGTAACTTTCTAAGCTTCCTGTGCCTCAGTTTCCTCATTTGGAAAATGAATCCTACTGCTTCACAGGTTATTACAAGGATCAAATGAGATAACTCTTTTTTGTTAAAGCACATAAATTAGCTCCTGGCATATAATAAGTGTTCCATCAATGTTAGCCACTGTTGCCAGCAACCAGGTTAATAATGACAATGAGTTAAAAAGTCCTAGCAGGGGTGTCCAACCTTTTGGCATCTCTGGGCCACACTGGAAGAAAGAAGAGTTGTCTTGGGCCACACATTAAATACATTGAGACACGTAATCATAAAAAAAATCTCATAATGTTTTAAGTAAATTTACAATTTTGTGTTGGGCTGCATTCATAGCCATCCTGAGTCACATGCAGCCTGCGGTCTGCAAGTTGGACACTCCTGCCTGGGGTGGTACCAGTGAAAACAAAGTGGAAAGAATGGCCATGAATGATCAATCTACCGAAAAGTGTTAAGTCAGGAAAGCAAGCAAAATGATCATGTTATATATATATTTTTTCTACTTTGTATATTTGACATAACTCATGATTGGATTTTTCATTATTAAAATCACCTATAATCTACCAAGCCTAGGCACAGATTTGATGCTGGGCACGAGGAGTCTAGTATAACTGAACTCTAGTCACAAATTCTATGACCACTGCAAACTTTTCTCTGCAGGTCTTTCAGTCTCTCAGCAGCAAGTTTTTTCATCACTCCCTGCAGCACCATTTCTTTAGTTCATGATTCTCACAATTCCCTTGTCCCATCTTTTGCCTGTGAGCACATCCCCAGGAGCCTTAGTTTGTGAATGGGTTTGAGGTTTTGTCCTACACAACCCTGCACTACTTTTCTTTTTCTTCTTCCTGCCCACCTCATTTACTTTTCAAGCCTTGCTATTCCCCACACGTAGGAACTTGCAACCTAAGAGCATGGGAAAGCAACAGAGCAATAGCAGTAGTGCCAAGAACTGGGGATGCTGCCAAGCTCTTCTCCAGGCTCCACATGCAGTGACCAACTACATGTGGAAATTGGACTTAACTGCCCATTGGGCCTCACATGCTTAATAGTCCTTTTTGCTTCTGCTCACTTTCTTTTTCCCACTTAAAGGAGCCTCAAGGAAACCTCCCGTGACCACTTTAGCCCACAAATATCTCCCCCCAACACACACACATACCCCAAACAGGTACTGTACTTACAGTATGTACCATAAAGCATAATCACATACACATTTATACCATTAAATGTTTCATGTATATACATATTTGATTTTCCAAGGGCATGACCATGTCTCACATGTTTTTTAAACCTCTTACTCTCAGTAAGCTAATACTTGCTGCAGTGACTGAATCAGTGGGGTTTTTTGTGTTTAGGCTAAGGAAGGAGGAGGTAGAAGCATGTTGAAGTGGAAAAAAAAGGTTGAATGGACATATGGGCAAAAAAAAAAGCACTAGGTCAAAGTGAGAAAAATATTGCATAAGAAAGGTGTTCAATTAACATCTGTTTAACTGATTTGCTGCAAGGTTGTTAAGAGACATACAGAAGAGATGCCAACTGGAAAAATTGGAAAAAAGGCATTTCAGCTTTAGGCAGAAGACAAAGATGGGGCTACAAAAGAAATTCTTATAAAACCTACGGATAGGTCAATTGGATAAGTGGAAGGTAAAGGGAGTTAGTGGGATGATACGGGTAGAGATGTGGTTAAATAGGTGAGCAAATAGGTAGGAGGTGAGTAGATGGATAAAATAATCGAGGGTAGTTAGGCAAATGAGTTAGTTGACTGGGCAGTAAGTGGGTAGATGGGAGGCAGGTAAGTGGGTGGGTAATTTAGGTGTTTAGTTGGGAGGGAATAGGTGTGGGGCATATTATTTAAGATCCGGCCCCTCCCTCACCTTGACCCGGAAGCGGATGAGTGCTAGCCTCACGCAGTGGCTCAGGCAGGCCGGTGGCAGGAACCAGGCCCGTGGAGGAGGGGTGCCCTTGTTGCCCACGTGTCCCACGATCAGCTGCGCTGTCTGCCGCTCAGTCTGGCACCGACGGCCCCACTCAGCCAGCCGGTCCTTGCCCAGGCCCCCGGGGAACATGACCACCAGCTCCAGGCCGTCGCCGCCGGAACAGGCACAAGCCTGGCATAGCGCTGACAAGTAGCCCAGCATGGCGTTCCACTGGCCGCCACACACCCAATCAGTCTGGTAGCCGCCATAAAGCCGCGGCAGCGCCGAGCCCGCGTCTACCAGCACCCGGGCCCCGGGAATCTGAGGGGGCGGCGGGGGGGGCGGCGGCGGCGGCGGCTGCGGGTGCAGGCCGGAATGCCCCTGGCCGTGGTGGTGGAAATGGTGAGCGGGGTGATGGTGCCGAGTCGGCCCCGCGCCCCCGGAGTAGGCACCCAAGGCAGCGGGTGGGAGCGGCGGTTGCAGGGGAGCGGAGCCCCTGGCGACGCGTGGAGCCCCGGGCGCTAGGGCTGCTGTAGGTGGCAGCTGGCGATGCTGGTACTGCTGTTGCTGGCGCGACACCGTGCGCGCGAGTTTGAGAAGGTCCACGGGCACCACGGCCCCGGGACAGCGCTTCTCCAGGAACTCTTGGAAGCCCTGGACGCCCATGCTTCGTCGGCGGGCAGACGAGACGGCGGCTGCGCGAGCAGGCTAGGCGGTAATCTGGGCGCGAAGCTGGGGGCGGGCGCGTGCGCACTCCGCGGGGGGCGAGGGGGCGGGAAAAGGATTCCGGAGAGGAGGGGTAAGCAAGAGAGGGAGTGAGGGCGGGGTGGGGAAGAGACCACAGACTGGATTTGGGTGGAGAGGAGGGATGAAGCCAACCCGATATAGGTGAGAGTGGTAGGATAAAAGCGTTAAGGGGGCTCTAGTCACTTCTCTTTTTTTTTCCTTCTCCAGCCGCTTTTCATCGTTTCACAAGTGGTGAAGCCTCTTCCTTCCACCTCCGGAAGCCATGTTGCCTAGTCTTGGTGGTACACACTTTCTAGATGAAGAAAGGGGGACGGGACAGGGCGGGGCAGAGAGGCATCCTGGGAGTTGTAGTGTTCTCTGCGATCTCAGGATACAGTCGAGGAACAAGATTACCACCCATGTCAGCCCTTGCGCTCACAGGGCGCAAGTGGTGGGGTGTGATGATATGTGTTTCGCATTTGCACTTCGACTCCTGGCATCCACCGAGTTGCTTCAGGCTATTTACTGCCGTTCCCAGGAAAAGAGATTCAAGGGGAAAGGAGTGATGCATCATGGGAAAGGAAGTGGAGCGGATTAAGTCAATTATACTAAAGTATGCTAAAATTCTCCAGGAGGTGCAATTTTCATTTCAGGGGAAAAGTAATATATATAGCTTTTAATGAATGAGAATTAAGGGCGGTTGTGGAACATAAAAATAATAACCACCATTTCTGTAGCAATCCACTTTTATCTATTGCAATTCATTAAAGAAGGGTTGTTGGCCCCAGTTAATGAATGGTGAAACTTACATTGTTTATTTGCCCAAGGCAATGCAGAGAAAAAGTGAAATTTAATATCCCTTGTCCTCAGGATCTCTTTGATCAAGGAGATAAGCACCAACACAAATTAAACTGCAAGTTGTACTTTTCTGGTATTCACTGAATTACAGTGTCCTATAGTTAAGACCTCTGTTTTTACAATTCATTGTGAATCGATCTGTCAGGGAGGTCTAGCAAAATAACCACAAAGATTCCAATTACAAATGTACAGAATCCATATTTTGAAAAAATATATTTTCAGCATGTTCAGTTGAATCCAATGTAGCACCAGTCTTCTGACTGACATTTAGGGCCTACTCTTTCACCAGAAGGGCAGAAAAAAATCTTTTCTCTAACAGTGAGTAGTAGCTGAAACTGGCATGGAACTTAATGGAAAGTGGGAGATGATGAGAGGCAGAATTAGAACCGAAAAGTGCAGAACCCAAGAGTAGTCAAGAAGAATGAAGTCTGAGAATAGTTTAATAGTATGCAAAAGCTTTAATCTCCTTAAAGGAGTTTATCATAAAAGAATAGTGGAGATAAAACAAGTCAGATTGACAATGAATAAGTAGATGATGAAGCAGTCTGCATAAGTAACCCTTTTGAAAACTAGCAGTGAAAGGAGAGAGCAGTGGTTGGAAGGGGTGGAGAAGGGGAGGAATAAAGGTTTTCTAGTATAATAAGACACCTGCAGGATTGTCTGTTCAGCCTTCCTCCAGTTTACAGAGTTACAGCAAAACCTGTCATGTTCTATAACAAGGGCTGATTGGGCCAAAGGTAGACAAATAAGCTAAGCTAGCTTGATCAAAATCTCATTCCCTAGAAATTTGGAATTGAACCAGAGATGTGTGTTCCTCTAAGTGTAAATTTTGGAAGCTGTCACCAGTCAATTTTCCCACTAGAGAGACAGAAGTAACAGATGCTGGGCCGTAGGAAAAAAAAAATGTAGACTCCAAAGCAGAGACGAGAGATAGGAGGTCGTCATTTTGCTTAAGTCCCTGGTTCTAGATCATTTCTGAGGCATTCTTGTCCTTGCTTTCCCTGAGGCAGCCCTACATGCTTACTATTACTAATTTTGTTTAAGATAGTTCAGTTAGAAACTACTTAAAACAAAAAAATGTTTATTCAGAAACTGGTACCCAGAAATGGAGTGTGGCAAATCAGAGACCCTCAAATATAGAACTGGCAGAGACTGGAGATCTTCTGGATCAGTTAATGGGAACTTGGCATTCTGTTATCTGGCAGTAAAGCTGTTGCTTGTTGTTCTTGGGACTCAAAACACAGCAGACCTTCTGCCTGTATTAAGAGATACCCTGTTGCTGAGGGTCAGACAATCGTGGGCTTTGCTGACTTAAAGTAGAACTCTTACATAAAAAGTTTCATTGATTAAAAAACTGGCACAAGCAATTGGAATGGGGTTATCTGTATAAGCTATTCCTTGTTCTTCAGCTCCCCCCAAACGTGATGATGTCTCAGCTGGAGTGCAACGAGGTGAGGGTAAGTGTAACATCCTCAGGAAGAGAGGCTTCACAGCCTTAAACTAAGCCTGTTATTTCCTGTCCAAGCTCTGAACTGCAGACGTGGAACAGAATGGCAGGGAAAATGAGCCATGCCTTTACTTTAGGTAGAGTGCTCAAAAATGGAAGCTGCAACAGCATGAGCCAGGTTATTCCCTTTAACAGATCTGAAGATTCAAAGGGCATACTTGACAAGATTCTTGGCACTTGTGATTAGCATCCCCTCGAATGAAATATATAGGCAGTCAAATGTTCTGAGGAAGTTGTAGCACTAGAAAATCATATCTGGTAAATAGGGATCAGGAGCTAGAGCAGTGATTCTCAACAGGCACATCGGAATCATATACAAACTACTGGAAATGTAAATTCTCAGGCCTCTCCCCAGACCTCCAGAATCAGAAACTGTGGGTGCGGGCCAGCAATCTGTGGTTCAGTGTCAAAGATAAACAAAGCTGGGCAGTAGCTAAAGCAGTGAAGACGAATTTTATTCAGTCTCTACTGACATTAAGGGAAAGAGCTGAGCCCCATTCCCATTTGTCAGGGCTGACTGGGCCTTTTATTGTTATTTTTAAAATCCTCACCCAAGCCCTGGATGGTATGATTCAGTGGATTGAGCACCAGCCTGCAAACCAAAGGGTCGCTGGTTTGATTCCCAGTCAGGGCACATGCCTGGGTTGCAGTCCAGGTCCCCAGAAGGGGGGTGCACAAGAGGCAACCACACATTGATATTTCTCTCCCTCTCTTTCTCCTCCCGTTCCCTCTGTCTAAAAATAAATAAATAAAGTCTTTTTTAAAAGAAAATCATCATCCGAGGATATGCTCATTGATTTTAGAGAGAGAGGAAGAGGGAGAGAAACATCAAAGTGAGAGAGAAACAGATCAGTTGCCTCCTGTACGCTCCACAACCGGAGATCAAATTTGCAACCTAGATATGTGCCCAGACCGGGAATCAAACCCCCAAGCTGCTGGTGTGTGGATGACACTCTAATCAACCGAGCCACCTGGCCAGGATGTGACTGGGCATTTTAAAGAAGGGAGAGGAGCAAGCAGGGGCTCAGTAGAGTTGGGTAAGTGAAAAATTACAAAGGGTTGTTCAGTGTAAGTGCGGTTATGCGAGTTGTGTCTGCTAGCTGTCAATTATTGAAGTTAGGTGTCTATCCTCCCAAACAGACTGGGAGATAGAGGCCCAGGGGTGGACTTCATGATGATTGCATTTCAAAGGAATGAACTTTCCAAGAGAGATAAATCTACATCTTAAAGGGATGGGGAAAGAAATCAGTTATTATCCTCTTTTAGTAAATGCTCTAAGCAAGGGAGAGGTCGGGGGCCTAAGTGAGTTGTCTACTAGAAAAAAGATACCATAAATTCTTTTGACAGCCTTTTCCAGATGTGAACTGTGCCTTAGGCTGCTAAAAGTCACACGAAAATTTAGTCAAGTCTCAGTGCAGATGTTTGAACTGAGTGTGTTGAGTTTTTGCAGGTCTCACTAGCCCTCCGGGTGGTTCTAAAGCACTCTTAAGTTTGAGAATCACTGCTCTTCTAGAGCATACCCTGGCCCAAGTACAGACTAGGTAAGCAAGAAGGTGCATCAATAAGTTGACTCCCTCACATTTTTCTATACCTGTGATTTAGTTCTTTTATTCCTACCCAGGTGGAGATGGTGCATACTCAGACTTGGTGGCTGATAATGGTGTGCCCCTCTCCTTTCCTAAAAGGGAATTTTTTGTCATGATCAATCTAATTATTTCTCTGTTGAATATTAGATCTATTGGTGGCAGTTAAGTTTATCAAAGGTTTAGGATCAAGAGGAGCCACATTTAGATTGTCACTGAATTAGATGAGGGAGGGGCATGTCCAAGTCCATGCCATGCTGTTGCTTCTGGATCAGTAGTTGCATGTGACATGCAGTTGTCCATGGGTTATGTTAAGTGTGGGCATTTTTGGAATTGTAGATAAGGAAGAAATGGCATATGTGTTTACGCGATGTAAAGAGGAGAACTATAGGTAAACACAATTTGTTTTGTCTCCCCAGGACCCCCTCTCTACCACCTTCTCTACTTTATCCTCATGGTTGCAGCAGGAACCATCCGTTACGTACCTTTTTTAGAGAATTTGGGATCGAGCTGGAAGAGAGATGAAAAATTGTGGCTACATTCAAGCACCTGATTTAATTGCTCCTGAAGCCCATCTGCATTATCCCTGAGTTTTGTGAGACATCATCATTTATATAATAAATTCGTCTTTTTGCTCAAGCTTGTTCAAATTGGGTTCCTATTACTTACAAACAAGAATCTTAACATATACACTAAAGGAGAAACTTTATGCCTGACATAGGCTCTAGAGAGGATAGAGAGAACAGGCCAAAGCCCTGAAAGCAGAAGTGTATAGTAGATGTCACAGAACAGTGGTTAAATGTGTGCTTTGGAACCAACATCTGGGTTCTAATACCAGTTAAACTTTTTATTAGCTGTATAACTTTAACAAGTTACTTAACCTCTTGATCCCTTACTGTATCTATGAAATAGGGACTCAATTTATTTAACAGATTTATTTGGTCCCTACTATGTGCAAGGAATAAAGGTGTGTACTGGGAGAAAGCAGTTTTCTTCTTAAATGTATTGGGGTGACATTGGTTAATTAGACAAAGAGCTTAGAAGGGAGATGGTAAATGACACTCAACCTCAGAAGATTAAGTGATGTAGTAAAGTGCTTGGCATAATTGGCACAGTAAGCAACTAATAAGTGTTCATTGTTATCATGAAGGGTGGAGAGAAGCTTAAAGAGGTTTCATGGAGAGTTAACTTTGGACTATCTTCATTTTTAAAAGATTTTATTTATTTACTTCTTATAGAGAGAGGAAGGGAGGGAGAAAGAGGGAGAGAAACATTGATGTGTGAGATTCATCTCTGGGTTCCCTTTCACACACCCCCAACTGGGGACCTGGCCTGCAACTCAGGCATGTGCCCTGAATGGGAATCAAACCCATGAGGTTTTAGTCTGCAAGCCAGTGCTCACCAGGCAGGGCTGAACTGCTTTCTGAAATCTTCCACCTAAGTGGTAACTAGCTGTTCAGTTTCTGCAAGGGGCCCACTTAGCTTTCTTTATCCCTTGAATCCTTGGGGCATGTTTGAGAGGCTATAAGCTCATATAGTTATAGAAAATAATTCATTAGAAGGTCTAATGAGACAGCCATATTGCTTGTGTTTCTTTTTTCTTTTTTTATTGACTTGATTGGGATGACATTGGTTAATAAAACTATATCGGTTTCAGGCGTACAATTCTATAATAAATCATCTGTATGTTGTATTGTGTGTTCACCATCCGAAGTGCTTGGGTTTCTTGAACAAGCGACTGGCTAATAAGAGAGAGGGCATTTGATTAGTAAAGGAAAAAGACAGTGGCTCTTAACCATAGTTAAATTAATATGATACTAACATATCACTTGGGGAGCTCTTATTTTCTCTTTGTTTTTTAAATTGAATTTATTGGGATGACATTGGTTAATAAAATTATATGGATTTCAGGTGCACAGTTCTACAACACATCATCTATATTGTGTATTCGCCACTCCAAGTTAATTCTCGGTCCATCCCCACTTATTCACTCTCCCCGCTCCGCAAACACCACACTGTTAGCCATATCAATTATTTCTTTCTTTCTTAAAGGGGAGGGCATTTTTTAAATTTATTGATTTTTTTAGAAAGAGAGAAAGAGTGATCTGCTCTTGCACCCATTTATGCATTCATAGGTTGCTTCTCGTATGTGTCCTGACTTCTGGGCCAGGGCACTTTCTATTTTCTTTTTGGCTCAAACCCTTCCACCCATCGCTCAGGGCTCTCCCCGCCCTTCACCCCCACCACAGCTGTCAGCCTGCTTGAAAGGAATTCCAATGAATCTATAGATTGCTCTGAGTAGTATGGATATTTTAATGATGTTAATTCTTCCTATCCATGAGCACAATATATGCTTCTATATGCTGACAATCACAGGTTTTTTCCCTCAAGGCATACTTCTTTCCTGAACTCCATTCCTCAAAGGTATGTGAACCTATCATGTGTAAGATGCTGTGCTAGATGCTAAGAGCTTAACACTGTGGAAAATCAAACCCAGTTATATTCATTGATACTTGCTATGAGAGAAAAAAGCAGAGTACTGTAATAGAAGAATAACAGTTAGACCAGCTTTAGGTAGGCTGCCATGGGGAGCCATTTGGGGTCTTACTTTAAAGTCAGTTCCTCAAGAACTGGCTGTGGGAAGAACGGGAGTGTGGGGCAGAAGCATTCCAGAGGAATAGCACTCGTAAAGGTCTAGAGGCCAGAAAGAACTTACAGTGTCCCAGAAACTAAACAGAAAGACTAATGTGTTTGTGAAGAGAGGAGATTGGAGAGAGTTTCAGGAGCCAAATCGTGCCAGGCCCGCAGGGGTCATGGTTAGAGCTTGGATATGGTTCTAGGGAAACCGTTGAAAGTTTTTAAGCAAGGAAGTAATGTGAGCTGATTTATGTTTTAAGATTACTTGTGCTGTTCTCTGGAGAATGGGTTGGATGAAAGTATGAAAGTGAGGAGATCAATTATCCCTATTTCACAGTTGAGGAAACAAATAAATACAAAGGGGCTGATTTGTCCGTGGTCATACAGTATGTGATACAGCAATGATTCCAACCTAGATTTTTCTGATTCTCAGCCTGTATTCTGACCTGGTGCTTCTCAAACTTTAATCTATGAATCACCAGAAGATCTTACTAAAATACAGATTGATTCCTCAGGTTTGCGTAGGGCCTGAGATTCTGCATTTTTATTTTTTTTCTGGCCTCTGACTTTAATTACCAATGTAACAAAACACAGGGGCAATAAAAACATGTGAAATATAACCCTATACGACAAACAATCCAGCTTCTTTAACAAATAAATTGCAAGGAAAAAAAATAAAGATTGAAGAAATGCCTATGAATGAGTTATAAGAATTTAAGAGACACATCAATCAATTGCAAAGAATGGAACTTATTTAGAGTCTAATTTGAACAATAACTGTACAGAATAATTTATGAGAGAAAAATGCGAACACTCGCTGGATATTTGAGTACGGTAAGGAATTATTATTCCTTGATCTCATAATAGTAATGTGGCTATGTGGGTTTTAAAATAATTTTTATTGAATTTATCGGGGTGACATTGGTTAATAAAATTATAGGTTTCAGGGGTAAATTCTGTAATATATCACCTATATATTGTGTTGTGTGTTTACCACCCCAAGCCTCCTTTTATCACCATTTATTCCCCCTTTATCCTCTACTATCTCCCCCCACCCCCTTTCCCCTCTGGTAATCACCATACTGTTGTTCTGTCTATGGAGTTTGTTTTTTGTTTTTTGTTTATCAGTCCCTTCATCTTTTTCACCCAGTTTATAGCTCTTCCATACCCTCTCCTCTGGCAGTTGTCAGTCTGTTCCCTGCATCTATGAGCCTGTTTCTATGTTTTTTTGTTTAGGTTATTTTGTTCATTAGATTCCAAATATAAGAGAAATCATTTGCAATTTGTCTTTCACTGACTGGCTTATTCCACTTAGTATAATAGTCTTCAGATCCACCCATGCTGTCGCAAAAGGTAAAATTTCCTTCTTTTTTACAGCTGAGTAGTATTCCATTGTGTAAATGTACCACAGCTTTTTTTATCCACTCATCTGTTGATGGGCACTTGGGCTGCTTCCAAATCTTGGCTGTTGTAAATAACACTGATGTAGACATATAGGAGTGCATATACTCTTTACTGTTTCAGGTTCATTCAAATATATTCCCCGAAGTAGAATCACTGGGTAATTAAGCAGTTGCATTTTTAATTTTTTGAGGTAACTCAATACTGCCTTCCACCATGCCTGCACCAATCTACATTCCCACCAACAGTGCACAGGAGTTCTGTTTTCTTCACATTCTCGCCAACACTTGTTTGTTGATTTGTTGATGATAGCCATTTTGACAAGAGTGAAATGATATCTCATTGTGGTTTTAATTTGCATTTCTCTGATTAGTGACATTAAGCATTTTTCGTATGTCTATTGGCCATCTACATATCGTCTTTGGAGAAATGTCTATTCAGGTCCTTTGCCCACTTTTAATTGGATTTTTTTTTGGTGTCGAGTTTTATAAGTTCTTTATAAAGTTCAGATATTAACCCCTTATCATTGGCATATATATCCTCCCATTCAGTGTGTTGTTTTTTCATTTTGATAATGGTTTCCTTTGCTGTGCAAAAAACTTTTAGTTTTATATAGTTCCATTTGTTTATTTTTTGTTTCCATTGCCTGAGGTGATGTATCAGAAAACATATTGCTACGAGAAATGTCCAAGATATTACTGCCTGTGTTTTCTTTTAGGATTTTAATGGTTTCAAGTCTAACATTTAAGTATTTAACCCATTTGAGTTTATTCTTGTTTATGGTGTAAGAAGGTAGTCTAGTTTCATTTTTGGCACATATCTATCCAATTTTCCCAACACCATTCATTGAATACACCATCTTTATACCTTTGTATGTTCTTGTCTCCTTTGTCAAATATTAATTGACCATAAAGGTGTGAGTTTACTTATGGGCTATTCTGTTCATTGATCTATGTGTCTGTTTTCATGCCAGTATCATACTGTTTTGAATACTATGGCCTTGTAGTATAGTTTGATACCAGGTAGGATAATGCCTCCAAGTTTGTTCTTCTTTCTCAACATTGCTGTGGCTATTTGGGGTCTTTTGTAGTTCCATATAAATTTTTCTTATTGTTGTTCATCCATATATATTTTTGGAGTATTCTAGTTCTGTGAAATACACTGTTGATATCTTGATAGGAATTGCATTGAATGCAGGTTGCTTTAGGTTATATGGACATTTTAATGATGTTAATTCTCTCTATCTATGAACACGTACTACTTTTTAGTACCTTCTTCAATTTTTTTCTTTAGTTATAATTTTCCAAGTAAAGATCTTTTATATCCTTGGTTAAATTTATTCCTCGGTAATTTATTTATTTTTTGATGCAATTGTAAACGGGATTGCTTTCTTAGTTTGCTTTTCTCATAGTTCATTATTGGTGTAGAAAAATGTAACTGATTTCTGTGTATTTATTTTGTATCTTGATACTTTTCTGAATTCATTTATCAGTTTTTGCAGTTTTTGGTGAAATCTTTAGAGTTCTTTATATACAGTATCATGT